TCGCCCAAGTGAGCTTGGGAGAAGAATGGTGCTCAGCGTCCCAAGAAGGGCGCCCAGGCGTGAAACAGTGCTCGAAGGCTGGCGCTCAGCGTCCCTGAAAGAGCGCCCAGGCGTGGGTGCGAGACTTCCAGCGATGAAGGCCCCAAAAAAGGGCGCGCAGGCGTGGTTGCGAGACAACCAGCATTGAGGGCCCTAGAAAAGGGCGTCCAAGTGTCCTGCGACCTTCTGCATCCTTCTCTTCTGGTGCTCTTTCTATCTTTTCTGGGTTTCAACTTCTTGACATTTTAACTCCTCTTCCAATTCATTCCAATTTCCTACAAAATCAACGGAATTTAGTGATAAAATCTTCAATTATAACATCAACTCTCTTATTCATCAAAATAAGCTAAAAGCAAGAGAACCAGCAAGTTTCTAAGTCACAAAGGGTTGTTTTATTATTAAAAATTGCATCTCAGATAACTGTATTTTCAACCGCTAAGTTTCATAATCGGTTAAAGTGTGTATCTTGTGAAAATAATTTTCATTGAAAACCATAAATGCCTATAACGATTATATTTGTTTATTGTTGGCTTGTATAATTTATTTAGTTGATTGCATGTGCTGTTTAATTTGTTAAATCTGATATGGATGTAAAACTATTAAAGTAGAAAGAAAAGCTTAACAAATTACGTTAAAAGCATAATCGATTAAACTGCATCAAGATTTGAAAATCTATAAATAGACGCGTTGCGTGCTCATTCAATACAATTACATGAACTTACACTTTCATAACTGACTTTTTTGTTAAGTGTTGATTGTAGGAGCATCCTAAGACTTTTGGGAGAATCAAGATCATACATTTTGAAAAGAAATCATTAAGATTCTTGCAGGATAGATGTGCTGATACATTGCTAATCATATATGCACTTCAGGTGTATTCTTTGAGGATCAGTGTCTTCATTACAATCAAGAGGATTGTGTTCCTATTGCTGTGAGCCAGGAGAAGAACGTATGCGTTCTGCATTGAGAGTTGGGATTTCTCTCAAGGTGTACAGAAAGTTGGGATTGCTTTCTGAGTTTGTGAGATTGTGAGGTGATTCACATCTTGTATTGTAATTGAGATTTTGAGTTGGGAAAGGAGAGTGCATTGAGAGGGGATATCTCTATATTCTTGCTTGTATAACCCTATCATTATAGTGGTTCCTTTCAACTAAGGTTGATGAAGGAAGACGAGATGTAGGCTTGGCTGAACCAGTATAAATCCTTGTGTTGAACTTTCTATCCTTTCTCTTTTATTGTTGATTCATATACTTATCATATTGATTTCAAGAAACTTAAAGATTTTGCAAAACTTTTTAAAAGACCTACTTTTGAAAGCAAAATCATATTCACCCCCCTTTTGGCTTGAGATATTGGCATCACTTTTTCTACAATTGGCACCAGAGCTGGGTATTCGAAATTTACTCGAATTTTAATCGGTTAGGTTTTTCGTATAATCGATTAAATAGTTCCTTATGGCCAGTATATCTCAAACTTTTTGGATAAGGGACATCTACAAACAGACCACCATTGTTTGAGAGTGACAACTACCCTTTTTGGAAAATTGGAATTAAGATTTTCTTAGAGTCAGTAGACTAGGGTTTTCGATTGGACCTTAGATGAAAGCAAGAGACTATGATGTTAAAGCAAATAATATCATCTCTTCTGCACTTACAACTGATGAGTTTTATAGAATCTTCACATGCACAACGACTAAAGATATGTAGGATGTTCTTGAGGTGACTCACGAAGGAACAAATGAAGTAAAAAGAGCCAGAAAGAATTCATTCATCCAAGAGTATGAAATGCTCGGGATGAAGGTTGATGAAACAATCTTTGATGTTCAAAAGAGGTTTACTCATATTGTCAACCACCTTCTTGCACTTGGAAATACTTTCTGTAAAGAAGATATCAAAGGTTTGGGTTTAGCTAATCAAGGGATTGTTTTTTATGTGACAACAACAACAATGTTACATAATGTTTCTTGCACAACAACTGAAACGTTTTTAATATGCATAGCTGCATTTACATATTTGTTTGTGCTTGAACTGATTGGTTTGCATACTTACTATGGTCATACACGTGTTTATATCTATAGTGTTCATACTCATGTTTTAAATGACAAAACCACTTGCACAAAGCATATCTATATGAAGTAATCGATTACAATGTTTATGTAATCAATTAAGTTCTTCAAATATCAGCTAATGCTTAACTGTGGCAAACTACAAGTTTTAACCGATTATATTATATGTATAATCGATTAAAACTCGTGCCTTTTCTAACACCTGTTTGTTGTGTGCAGTGATGAGTTTTCAGTAGAAAAAGTTTTCAAAATTGTTAAGTGTAATACTCAACCGATTACACAATTTCATTAATCGGTTAAATCTGGTACACATTAAAAATTGTTTTTATGTTAAGTCTTAACTATTATAACAGTCTTATTTTAAATTGTTTTGACTTACAATAAATGCAAAATGCTTAACCGATTACATTAATTTAGTAATCGATTAAAATGCATCAGGATTATGAAAATCCTATAAACAGTTGTCTTGCGCACTATTCCAAAACAACAGACACAGAATATACAAATTTCATAACTAACATTTTATTGAGTTTTGATTACAAAAAGCGTCCAAGAACCATCTTGAAGATTCAATATCAAATCTGGGTTAATACATCACGATTCTGTCAAGATCTGTGCTTAAAGGTTTCTGGTCATATCTGCACTACTGAAGTGTCTGTTGTGAAGATCAAGTTAATCTTTTTCAGTATGTAGATTGAGTTTCAGTGCGTTTGTGCCAGAGGAAGAGAACTGTGTTTGTTCTTATTGAGAGTTGGGATTGCTCTCAAGGGTTTCTTAGAGTTAGAATTGCTTTGAGGTGATAGAAAGTTGGGATTGCTTTCTAGGTTGTGAGAGTGTGAGGGTGTTCACCTTTTGCTTGTTGTAATTGATTTTGAGTGGGGAAGGAGAGTGCATTGAGAGGTAGTCTTTGTATTCTTGCTTGTAAACTCAATCGTTATAGTGGTTCCCTTCAACTAAGGTTGTTGAAGACTAGATGTAGGCTTGGCTGAACCAATATAAAAATCTGTGTTGGTTTTTCTATCCTTAACTCTTTTACTGCATTATATTCTTTATTGTCTTGTGTGTGAAAGAAAGTTCTAAAGATTTGCCAAAAGATACCAAAAGATAATAAAAGAACATATTTTCAATAAGAACCAATTCACCCTCCTCTTGGTGTTGAGAAATATGGCCTAACTATTCTTACATGACGGACTAAGTCCGTCGGTAATCTCAACTCTTTTTGCATATGAAAACCCCCAAACACCACAACTTTGTTCTCCCTTAGCGTCAAACCCAACAAAACACACATAATACATTCATAGGGAAAACTCATCACAAATATTACATAAACCATATGCCCATTCATACACAAACTCTTACCATTAATAACCACAAATAATCATAATCATATACACATGTATCAAAACAAGGATCACCAATCAAGATAATAAAAAACACATATAATATACAACTATAAACAAACAAAGTTAAGCTTCCTCATACCTTGACAATCATAAGATTGTATCTACAACCTTAAAACACCACCAATCTTCCTTTATCCTAAGAGTTTTCTGGCGTTCTCTCTCTTCTTATCCCAAAACGCCATCTCCTCTCTTCCTCTATTTTCTTTCTTTGATTTTGAGTTTCTAAGGTTCCTAAATATCAAATCATCCCTTAATTAATTTCTACACCAATTAAATGAAGACAAAAGACCATTTTGTCCATAGACAAAAATATAAATATAAAGAAATAACATAACAATTGTGTTCTAACCAAATATACACTCAAAAACACTAATTTCAAACAAAAATTCAAAGTCTCAAAATTATTTTATTTTTAAAACCTTATTTTTCTGAATCTTACATTATATATTGTCTATTGTATATTGTATATTGTATATTGTATATTGTATATTGTATATTGTATATTGTATATTATATATTATATATTATATTATGCATTCATATTAAACGTTACAATATGTGGAACGTAAACGAAAACAACCCCTGAACGTATTCTTCATCAACACGTTACGTTCTCTCCTCGGATCACCCCACTCCGGCGACCGTTAGTCTCCAAGGACCCAACAACTCCGGCGACTTTATGTAAGATTGTTGTTCATTTCTTCTATTATCTTCTTCATCTTCTTTTTGTTTCGTTTTCTATTTCTGGTTTTTATAGAACCCCTGTATCTTTTTTTTCGTCTTGAAATAGTGTAATTGGTTTTTGCCATTCTTCTTCTGCCAACAAGTTTTAAGTTATCTTTTAATTTGTATTTTATTCAGTATCTGATTATCTAAAAAATAATAATTCGTTTTGCATTCATCTCTGCGCACAAGTTTTTGATTCTTTTATTCAATCTTTACCCCAGTATCTTTTTAAATTTGTTTATTCTTTTGCCTTCATATTAAATTTTTTATTAAGTTTTATGTTCTGCTTCTCTTTATTTCAATCTTTTATTAAGTGGTTTTAGAAAACAAGTTAGTTCTTTTTGCGTTCATATTCAGTTTTTATTGCGTTCTTCTTGCCTTGTTTCTGATATTTCTAATATCAGTTTTTTGTGCTCTGCTGCCATTTAATTATCTTTTTTAATTGAAGTTGAGAATGTTTTTTTTATTCAGTTTCTTATTCAACTTTTGATTTTCAGCAGATTCATGAAGTTTTTTATTTAACTAAATTTTGTGTTCTACCCAGCTGAACCTTTGCTTCTGATTCCGAAACAATGCTGTCTGGTGCGAACTGAAACAGAAGATTGATGTCTTTCTGGAAATGGAACAGCTTAATTAAAGAACTGAAACAATAGGAAGTGACATGTCATTTTCCTAAAAGCATACTACTTGAGCCAAAAAAACATCAACTTAAGATACTAGGAGATGTAGGTGCATGTAGGAAGATACCGGAGGATGTTAAATTGAAGATGAAGGCAGTATTTGGTCAGAAAAAGGCTGAAAATGTTACACACGACACACACACAAACATGGAAATAACGCAAGATGATGCATTAACTGCTAACCTTGGTGTTATAGGAAGAAATTCTACTGACCTTGGACCTGTTGGTGACAACTTTAGTGCATTAACTGCTAATTCTGGTGAAGTTCGTGATCAGTTATATAATTTTCAGATGCTTGAGGTAGCTCACCACAAACTTCCGCAACCTAAGGACTCAGAACGTCCCAGGGCCTATACTCCTGTATACTCTTTTGTTTTTAATAATCATCATTTTAATTGAATACTACATTATGTATTACTAGATTACAAGACAAAAGTTTCCATTTTTTTCTGGTTATGCAGAAACATCCTACGATAACTCCTCCTAGTTTTCCTAAAGTTCAGGACCCTATTGTTTATAATCCAGCCTTTTGGGAGAAAGTGGGTCTAGAACCATATTATTTTGATACCCTGTTCTTTGCATTTTACTATCAACAGGTACGGGGACTTTTTCGGTGATTAGTATTGCTCTCATTCTGTCATGAAAGCTTACATTCATTATTTTCTGTAGAACACTTACCAACAATATGTGGCTGCAAAAGAGCTAAAGAAACAGTCTTGGAGATATCACCGCAAATATAACGCATGGTTTCAACGGCATAAAATGCCAAAAGTTGCAACAGATGAATATGAGCATGGAACATATGTGTACTTCGATTTCCGTATAGCAAATGATGACAAACAACATGGGTGGTAAGCATATTGAACTTATAATTTCATCTATTTGCACTCATTGAATGTTTTAGCTTTATCGAAAGATTGGAGATGGCTATCGTTTAAAACTTTGAGCAAATATCCATTTTCTTTTTTAAATACATTTTTGTCGGCTTTGTCATCTACATAGAAATATGTTTTATCAATTTATGTTATCAAATTGGACGTTAAAGTGGGAATAACTTGGTTAGTTAAATGACAATAGTATTGGACATTTAGTGTCTCTACTTAATCCCTACCAGCCTTGTCATTTTCCCTTTTTCTGGTTCAGAAGTAATTAAATGGTTGATATGTTCGTAATTTGGAACTGCATTTCTGATTGTCCTGATTTGATTATTCTCAGGTGTTATAGCATCATGACTGACTTCACTTTGAATTATAATTACCTTGAAGATGAGCCTATTGTCTAGAAGATGCCCGCTTCATGTTCTGATTAGTGTTTGTATATCGATAAACTACATTTGCCCTCCAAAGTAGGAAAAATATATTTTGTAAAAGAGAACAGCGAAGAATGTTGAATAACATGACATGCGCAAGCTGTTTTCCGCATAGTCTTTCTTGCTGATGATGCTAAGAAATTGCTGATGTTCGATTTTATAGCGTGTATTGTGTATCATTCCAGCTTTTAAACTGTCACTACACATGTAAACTGGTTGAAACTCATCCTTTTGGCCCTGCAACTCCATGCAATTTTGTCTGAAAGACTAAGGATTGAGTGATTAAAAAAGTTTTTAGATTGTCCAGAAGTTAAGAATCAAGAGTACAACACAAGAAGCATGGCAAGGAAACAACAAATGAAGAGAAATTTTAAGGAAGATATTCAAGAAGGACTATTAAAGAAATTGAATAAAAAAGAAAGAGGCAAAGAAAATGTAATCCTTTTAGAAGATTATAAAGTATATTAAGAGAATCAAAGAATATTATGTAGAACCTAGCACGTTATGTTTGGACAACAAAAGTAGAGAAAGAGATACATGAAATGTATCTATCTTCAACAAGTTATTTTAAAGGTCATCTGTTAGCTGCACTTCCGCATTTTCGAGTGTACGTGAAAATTGTAACTATTTCACATGTCTCTTCACTTTTAGATGTGTCTTTTTCATTTGTCTCGAGTGTTGATGATATTGTTAAGGAGTGGACTTTAAGTTTAATTCAACTCCATAAAACCGGTAACAATTCTTTAACGGTCTCTGATAACGTGTTAAGAAGTGTATTTTTAGTCTAACTCAATTGTAAGGTGAGGTTTGCATCTACTTATATATTATAAATTGGTATTATCTCTGGTCGATGTGAGATTTCCAACACTTCATCTCAAATTCAGATGTAAGGTATTGTTGTAAACTAGAAATCTCATCTTAGTAATTTCCTGTTACAATCATGTCATTTATATATATATAATTAAAGTTGTAATTTTTTTCTTTTCTTTTATTCAAAAATAAGGTGTGATCAAAGTTACTTGCTCTAGCCAAAAATCTTCATAGAAATATGACTAGTGATACATAAATGTAATCATTAGTATTGCCTTTTCTTGAAACTCATTTTCGAATTCTTTGTTTGGTTATCTATAAATAGAAATCAATTCTCTCTTATAAACTTGTGCTTGAATGAATGAAATACACTTTACTTGTGATATTCTTTCAGTGTCTTCATATATGAAATCTTTGTTTTTGGTTCTTACCTTTAAGAGTTTTTTTAAGTGATGAATCTCCCTTCTCTTTGGATTTTAGTGTAAAGTGACATGTTATAAACCATTTTCTATTTACATTTGCAACTTTCTTCTTGTTTTTCTCTTATCTCCATTGAAATGTCGCAAGCTTATCCTCTTAACGTAGAATGGCTTCTTCAACATCTAATTGAATTGATAGAACCATCCTGTTTCCCAAAAACACATTACTTCATGTACCAATGTTTAGAGTTGAGTGTGTTTCATCCCACATTTTAAAATTTTTCCCTTTATTAAAACAAAATCTTGTATTGCAAAGCTAAATATACTTGGATAAAAAATATTATTTGAAAATAGATAAAAAAATTATTCAAAATTATTATATATAATAATTAATATTATTTTTAAAATTTTTACACACATCCATATATATATATATATATATATATATATATATATATATTGTTAGTTAGACTCAATACCGTTCAGTCTTTAGTTATTTCTTTCAGCCTTCAACTGTTAGCATCGTTCGGCTTCAGCCTTACTGTTTGGCTTTCGACCTTTAACTTTTGCATTCGGTCTTTCATTGTTTTAATTGTCAGTGTTACAATTTCTTTGCTTGGCTATATATTATGGCTCCTTCCTCTATTTTTGAAATATATTCATTTAGATCATTCCTTTTGATCTCTGGGTTTTTTCATTCTTTCTATTCTCTATTTTGCTTTTGGACTCTTGTTCTCTTTCCTCACGAACCAACAAGTGGCGCCTACTGTGAGGCAATCAAGACAAGAAAATCCAGAAGTTATGGTACCAAGTTCGACATAGAGAAATTCAATGGATCGAATGACTTTGGGCCGTGAAAGATCAAGATGGAGGACGAAGAACATGCCTGCTACACTAACGCAAGAAGGGAAGAAAAGAATGGTTGATAAGGCAAGGAGTGCAATTGTTTTGTGTCTTGGTGATAAGGCATTGAGGGAGGTTGCAAAGGAAAAGACTATTGCTGGGATATGGGCAAAGCTGGAATCATTATACAGGACAAGATCATTGGCTCATAGGTTGTGTCTAAAACAACAACTTTATTCGTTCAAGATGATAGAATCAAGAACCATAAAGGAACAACTTGTAGAATTCAGCAAGACCATTGATGATTTGGAAAAACTTGGGGTAAGATTAGAAGATGAAGATAAGGTTTTTATTCTTCTAAATGCACTTCCAAGAAACTTTGAGTATTTTAGGGATGCCTTGCTCTATGGAAGGATCTGGCGATTACTCTAGAGGAGGTTGTGACATCAATTCGAACCAAGGAGTTCCAAAAACTCCAAGATTCGAAGGCAACCAAAGAGGTGGCGTTAGGGCTCATTACGTTGAAAGGAAAAGGGAAGAAGTAGAAGGAAAGTTGGAAGAAAACAAAACCAGAAGATAAGAAACAGGTGAGATGTTTCAAGTGTTAGAAGATTGGACATATCAAGAAGTATTGTCCAGAGAAGGGAAAATGCTCTCGGATGCAAGAAATTGTTGATGTTGTAGAGGCCTCTAAAGGATATGAATATGCTGGTGTTCTGGTGGATTCATCCGAAGATTCTCAAAGAAGATGGGTCATGGATTAAGGCTGCACTTATCATATGTGCCCGGTGAAGGAGTTTTTTGAGAGTCTTGGTCAAAAAGAGCATGGAAATGTGCTTCTTAGTAATAACAAGGCTTGTAGAGTGCAAGGAGTTGGGTCTATAAGATTGAAAATGTTTGACAACCATGAAATGATGCTGCAAGATGTGAGATACGTGCTTGAACTAAAGAGAAATATGATCTCTATAAGTTCTTTTGATTTTAGGGGCTATTCCATGAAAGTTGAGAATGGAATGATGAAAGTGTTCTCTTGAGATTTTGTGATAGCCAAAGGCAGAAGGAATGACTTATACATTCTAGAGGGTTCCACTGTCATTGGTCATGCCTCGGTTGCAAGTGAGAAGTCTGAAAATAAAACTCGGCTTTGGCACTTAAGGATGAGAAATATCAGTGAGAAGGACCTAGAAGAATTGGAAAAGCAAGGTTTACTTCTTGGTGATAGACTATTGAAGCTTGATTTCTGTGACCATTGTGTCTTGGGGAAATCACACAGAATACCATTCTGAAAAGGAAAGCACTCAATCGAACGACCATTTGAGTATGCTCACGCTAATCTGTGGGGGGCGACAAGAACTCAAACTCATGGTGGAGGAGCTTACTTCCTAAGCATAATTGATAATTTTTCAAGAAGAGTATGGATCTACATTCAGAAGAACAAGTCTGAAACGTTTCAAAGGTTCAAGGAGTGGCATACTCATATTGAGAGTAAATTAGGATTCAAGCTGAAATGTCGAAGAACTGACAACGGTCTGGAGTTTGTTTCAGATGAATGAGTTATGCAAAGTCAAAGGAATCAAGAGGCATATGACTGTGGTTGGAACTCCTCAACAGAACGACTTGGCTGAAAGAATGAATAGAACAATTTTAGAGAAGGTTCGGTGCATGCTTCTTGGATCAGGTCTTTCTAAAGCTTTCTGGGGAGAGGTTGCCAATACGGCAATATACCTAATCAACAGGAGTCCTTCCACTACTCTCAATCATAAAACACCAATGAAAGTTTGGAATGGACAGCCAACAGATTACTCCAACTTAAGGGTGTTTGCATCCTTGGCTTTTGCTCATATCAAAGGGGATAAGTTGGAGGCTCAGGTTGTGAAAAGTGTATTTCTTGGATATGCTGAAGGAATTAAGGGATACAGACTATAGAGGTTGGATGTTAAACCTTCAAAACTGATCATTAGTAGAGATGTCATTTTTGATGAGACAAGAATGGCAATACATGCTCAAAATCCATAATATGAGAAGAGTAAGACTCTCATTAGGTGGAGCATTCTATTGATGAAGATCAAAGAGATCATATCACAAATCTTGATGATGATTCAGATGGAATGTCTGGTGATGCTACTCACTCAAAAAGAGTTGATACTGAATTAAGGAACTATCATCTTGTTCTTGATAGGGAAAGGAGGATCTCTAAGCTAACGAAACGGTTTGGATAGGTTGATCTAATTTGCTACGCCTTAAATGTTGCTGAAGATCTTGAAAGCATGATGAACCGAGAAGTTTCAAGGAGGCTCATGATAGCAGTGAACGACAACTTTGGCAAGGTGCTATGGAGGAAGGGCTTGAGGCTTTAAGGAAACATAACACCCGGAGATTGGTGGATCTGCCAAAGGGTAAGAAGGTTGTAGGTTCAAAATGGTCCTTAAAGAAAAAAGGAAGTTATACCATGAGGTGAGAAAACAAGGTATAAAGCAAGACTTGTAGCCAAAGGTTTCATCCAGGTTGAAGGTATTGATTACCATGAGATCTTTGCTCCTGTGGTGAAGGACTAATCGGTCAGAGTCCTAATGGTTATCATTACTCATCATAATTTGCACCTGGAACAATTGGATGTGAGAACTGCGTTTCTGCATGGAGATTTGGAAGAAACCATTTATATGAAACAACTGGAGGGATTTGCTTTGGATGATAGGGTGTGCCTGTTACAGAAGTCTCTATATGGCTTAAAGCAAAGTCCAAGGCAATGGTACAAGAAATTTGATGATTTCCTGATAAAGCTGAACTTCAAGCGGTGCAATTATGATGATTGTGTGTACATTCTAAACTGAGGCAGTGAGGTACTGTATCTTTTGTATTACATGGATGACATCCTCATTGCCAACAGTAATAGGTGCATGATTCGTGAGCTGAAATCAAAATTTGAGTGACGCTTTCGGGATGAAGGAGCTAGGTGAAGCTAGGCGGATCTTGGGCATTGATATATAGAGAGATAAACTGAAAGGAAACTTGTTTTTATCTC